TTTTTTTAAATGAGGCATTATCAAATTAAATATGCACTCATTTGCATACATTTCCAGAACAAAAATCTGAATGTTGGATAAAGCGATGTTCGAAATTTTTGGTTAATTTTGCTGACATATTAAAGTTAAAGATTTTGGATCTCTCTTTTTATTACTCCATAAATCAGAAAATACTGTCATACTGACAGAAATGCATGCATTTTCACCACGTTTTTAGGAATAAAATGTTAATCAGGTGAATTATGTTCAGAATATAGATAGGAATAAAATCGGTAAATTGTGGTGTATGAAAATGCTGCTTAACTGGAGAAAAACTCACTGCCTTTAAAGATGTGTATTGTAATCAAAATCTACAGATGTAAATAGATAAAGTACAATAAAATAAACACTAAAATGTATGCTTTCGTTCCACTAGTCTGAAAAAAGACAAGTTATAGAAGCAAAATAACCAAAATATCAAAATTGACCAATGGTTTTGCATGCAGTGCTTTACTTTAAATGAGAAAGCCTCTTTATTTTCATGTAAACTGCATCAGTTTCATAACGTCTCCATCAGATGTCATTAACTAAACTGCCAAATAGCTGTCTAGCCATTGTTTTAGCAAACTCACAAGCCACTGTACTTATAACGTGACCCATTTTTCATATCTCCTCTTATTTTATTAAACTAAATTGTGACTGGTGCAGAAACTTTTCTGGCATTATAAGTGGACCTTAAGGGGAAAATACATAACAAAACTAATGAGAGTATAATATGACCCTTTTAAATGCTACATTATACACTGTGAAAAATTATTTTTCGAAATTGTACTTAAAATAAAGAATAGAGAAATAAAACAGGAAAATACTACTTCTAGTCTTTCTACTTAAAAACGTCATGATTCATGAATTATTAAATCAGGAAGGAAAATTTGCTTAATGTTTTAAATAAATATATAGAGTATATTCGATGTATTTTAAATAAATAACTAAATTGTATTATAAGATCATATAATTTAATTAATAAAGAAAATATATAATAATATAATATAATTAAATAAATAAAATAAACATTAAGCCCCCCCCCCATAAATAAATAAATAAATAAAAAATACAGGAATTTTGATGTTATAGGAAAAAGCTTAATGTTTATTATTTTATTTTATATACAGAATATTTATTTTATTTGTATTTAGTTTTTTTTTTATATAAAATAAAGCATGCATCAGAGGGTTAATTCAATTTGTTGCTTGCTATTTCTTTGCAATTATTTGTGAAATTTACATGCAATTTCTGAGTGAAAATTAAGTAAATTCTGCACCTTTTTTTCAGTGCATAAGTCTCAATCATTTTAAAATAGATTCATTACCTGAACTGAACTAGAAAATAAACGACATGAAATCTACAAGGTCAGTCAACGTCCTTGCCTTTCAGAGAGCTCAGCAGCAAGAAGACAATAACATGAAAGGATGTTTTCCTGAGCAGAGCGAGGGTTATTAGCAGTCCTTCAGTGTGACGGGAGGTCAGCTGCTTTCTCAGTCTTTTATCAAGTTAATGCACTTTGAACTCAAGGAACCAGAGGCCTTCAGCGTTCCCCGTCTGTCATTTAAAGGGCAGGGAGAATGAGTAAGCCCTAATTGAGCAGATATACTTCATTTCACATGCGAACACATCCGACAGCGGTGCTCTCATGCACAAAACAGCCTTCGATGTACAGGAGGAAGATGTACATTTCAGAGACAGCATTAGAAATGCTGACAGTGAATCAGTAGATACGTGTTGGGTTTTCTATTTTAAGAACAAAGATGACTTGATATTTCTTTTGCTTTGAGGTAATGCAACACATTTTGGCCAGATTTTGTGAAACTCTGCAACAAAAGGACAAAAATAGACATGTTTAAACACTGTTTAAACACTGAAATGATTAATTATTTCAGCTCCATCACTGTAGGTTTGGAATCACAAGCTTATAATATGCCCATTTTAATTGAAGCAATTTTTTTGTATCATGGTAGCACCAGTGTTGTGAGATACAATTATAGTTTTTATTAACAGTTTGAATTAGTGTTTATTTTTAAACTTTCTCTTCTATTTTTAATTTTTGTTAAAGTTTTAGTAATTTTGTAGTGTGTTTTGGTTGTGAGATACTATTATAATTTTTATTAATAGTCTGAATTAGTTTTTGTTTTTATATTTTTAATTTCCATTATATTTTTTTGTAAAAGTTTTAGTAATTTTATTGTGCGTTTTGTCATTTTTATTAGTTTTTTTATTTACTTTTAATTTATTTTTATTTCTATTTTAGTATTAGTTACTTTAGTACATCAAGTTAAACTAAATGAAAATGAGAGATGTTTCTTTGGAAACTAGATAAAATAAGTGTTTTTAATATTTTATTTCAGCTAACATTTTTATTTCAAGTAACAAACATGTTTTTTTAATGGTTTTATTATTAATTGACTATAATAACCCTGCAGTACTATTGTATTCTTTAAAGTGGCATGTAAATAAATGCTAAATGATATCCAAAATGATGGCAAAACATAGCTTAATGTAGTGACTTTATCAATTTTAAAATATCATGCGTTTTACTTCATGCATAATGCGTTTTAACTAGTGCTGTCAAACTATTAATCGCAATTAATTGCATCCAAAATAAAAGTTTTTGTTTACATGATATATGTGTGTGTGCTGTGTATATTTATTATGTATATAGAACTAAACACACATGCATGTATGTAACGTGGGGTTTGGGTTTTGTTTGGGTTTCATGTTCATTGCTCTCATGTCTTTTATTTTGGAGTTTAGTCATGGTCCCTGTCTAGTCATGTGATTCCCTTGCCCTCATGTTATCCTGCTATTGGTTCTTTGGTTCATGTGTCATGTTCTCATTGGTAAAAACGTCATGATTCATGAATTATTAAATCAGGAAGGAAAATTTGCTTAATGTTTTAAATAAATATATAGAGTATATTCGATGTATTTTAAATAAATAACTAAATTGTATTATAAGATCATATAATTTAATTAATAAAGAAAATATATAATAATATAATATAATTAAATAAATAAAATAAACATTAAGCCCCCCCCCCATAAATAAATAAATAAATAAAAAATACAGGAATTTTGATGTTATAGGAAAAAGCTTAATGTTTATTATTTTATTTTATATACAGAATATTTATTTTATTTGTATTTAGTTTTTTTTTAATATAAAATAAAGCATGCATCAGAGGGTTAATTCAATTTGTTGCTTGCTATTTCTTTGCAATTATTTGTGAAATTTACATGCAATTTCTGAGTGAAAATTAAGTAAATTCTGCACCTTTTTTTCAGTGCATAAGTCTCAATCATTTTAAAATAGATTCATTACCTGAACTGAACTAGAAAATAAACGACATGAAATCTACAAGGTCAGTCAACGTCCTTGCCTTTCAGAGAGCTCAGCAGCAAGAAGACAATGACATGAAAGGATGTTTTTCTGAGCAGAGAGCGAGGGTTATTAGCAGTCCTTCAGTGTGACGAGAGGTCAGCTGCTTTCTCAGTCTTTTATCAAGTTAATGCACTTTGAACCCAAAGGCAGGAGCCAGAGGCCTTCAGCGTTCCCCGTCTGTCATTTAAAGGGCAGGCAGAATGAATAAGCCCTAACTGAGCAGATATACTTCATTTCACATGCGAACACACTCTAATGCACAAAACAGCCTTCGATGAACAGGAGGAAGATGCTGACAGTGAATCAGCAGATACGTCTCTGTAGGGTTTTCTATTTAAAGAACAAAGATGACTTGATATTTCTTTTGCTTTGAGGCAATGCAACACATTCATTTTGAACAGATTTAGTGCAACAAAAGAACAAAAATAGACATACTATATTAAAGCGATTCATTATTTCAGCTCCATCGCAGCAGGCTTGGCATCACATGCTTATAATATGCATATGCCCATTGTAATTGAAAATAACTCGATGCATTCCACTTTCAACAGTTTTTTGTATCACGGTAGTACAAATACGTTTATAGAATTAGTTTTTATTTTTACTTTTTTTTTTTTTTTTTAAGTTTTAGTGATTTTGTGGTGTTTTTTTGTTGTGAGAAACTATCATTTTTATTAATAGTTTTAAAATTTTGTTTTTATATTGTCCATTTTCATTATAATTTTTGTAAAAGTTTTAGTAATTTTGTTGTGCATTTTTGTTATTTTTATTTAATTTTTTTTTTTTTTTAATTTATTCAATTTTAGTATTAGTTATTTTAGTACATCAAGTGAAACTAAATTAAAATGAGAGATGTTTCCTTGGAAACTAGATGAAATAAATGTTTTTATTAATTTGATTTCATTTTAGTTAACATTTATTTAAGTAACAAACTTAAACTGGTTTTAGTGTTAATTGACTATAATAACCCTGCAGTACTATTTCATATACCATGGTAAATTAATATCCAAATGATGGCAAATTATAGACTAATGTAGTGATTTCTATCTATATTAATTTTAAAATATCATGTTTTACTTGAGGCCTTTATGCATAATGCATTATAAGGCATTCATAATGTACATTGTAATGCATTATATATTTTCATCAATAATTATAACCAAAGTTATATTTAGAGATTCCTTTGGTTGGTTTTGTCATGTGTTTTAATGCATTGTATTTTCTGTGTAACAATGAATAGATAAGTATTATAATATATTATATTTTATACATTAAAAATACAGATTATAATGCATTATATGTCAAATTATAATGCATTATATATGAAAGCTTCAAGTAGTGTTATCAGTGAAATTGACTGTTTTTCATGTGTTTCATGTGTTTAACTTTCTAAAGGTGTAACAATTAATAGATTTTTATTATAATATATTATAACTGTGTTTTTCATGAGATCATACAATGCATTATAAGGTGCACTGCAAGGCATAATTCACACAGTAACATACTTTTTGTAATGCATTATATGTAAAGGCTTCAAGTAAAGTGTTACCTAATTGTTTTTCACATTTCTGTGTTTTGAAAGGTCTCTGCTGTAGTATCGGACAATGTTTCGCAAAAAGAAGAAGAAGAGGCCGGAGATTTCAGCACCGAAGAACTTCGAGCATCGCGTTCATACGTCGTTCGATGCAAAGCGAGGAGTCTTCGTCGGTCTTCCCACACAATGGCAGAGTTTAATAGAAAACCTCCGGAGACCCAAACCCATGGTGGACCCGTCCAGGATCACGCCGGTGGAGCTCAAACCAAAGAAGGTCAGAATTACATGGAATAAATGCTAAGAAGTGTCCCACAATAGCATGATAGAAGTGTTATCAGTGAAATTGACTGTTTTTCATGTGTTTCATGTGTTTAACTTTCTAAAGGTGTAACAATGAATAGATTTTTATTATAATATATTATAACTGTGTTTTTCATGAGATCATACAATGCATTATAAGGTGCACTGCAAGGCATAATTCACACAGTAACATACTTTTTGTAATGCATTATATGTAAAGGCTTCAAGTAAAGTGTTACCTAATTGTTTTTCACATTTCTGTGTTTTGAAAGGTCTCTGCTGTAGTATCGGACAATGTTTCGCAAAAAGAAGAAGAAGAGGCCGGAGATTTCAGCACCGAAGAACTTCGAGCATCGCGTTCATACGTCGTTCGATGCAAAGCGAGGAGTCTTCGTCGGTCTTCCCACACAATGGCAGAGTTTAATAGAAAACCTCCGGAGACCCAAACCCATGGTGGACCCGTCCAGGATCACGCCGGTGGAGCTCAAACCAAAGAAGGTCAGAATTACATGGAATAAATGCTAAGAAGTGTCCCACAATAGCATGATAGACCTTTTCAGTTCACTTTGAAAAATTCCGTAAAATTTACGGTAAAAAAACGGCAGCTGTGGTTGCCGGAATTTTACCGTAAAAAATACGATAGCAACATTTTAGGTTTTACAGTTTTAACTTAAATGTACGGTTAAATACCGTAATTTCATTAACTGAAATAATGTTAATATTCCAACCTATCGAAATCGTTTATTTTATGCAAAGCATCAGGCTTTTCCATCACACGAAAAGACCGCGTCACTCGTTAAAGGTGATTCACACTGCGCGCCTGTATGTTGACCCAACCGCTGGGTCAAAACAACCCAATAGCTGGGTTTGTCCCTTTTTAACCCAGCGCTGGGTTATATTTAACCCAGCATTTTTTAGAGTGTATACAGCACAGTAACGATTTTATAGATAAAATAAAATGTACACAAACCTGTATTTTACCGAAGAATGCATCAATTCGATGGCGCTTAGAACTGCTCTATCGTGAAGTGAAGACGCAAAATCCCCGCGATAAATAACTCAACCGCTGAGCTATAACCCTGCAGTACTATTTCATATACCATGGTAAATTAATATCCAAATGATGGCAAATTATAGACTAATGTAGTGATTTCTATCTATATTAATTTTAAAATATCATGTTTTACTTGAGGCCTTTATGCATAATGCATTATAAGGCATTCATAATGTACATTGTAATGCATTATATATTTTCATCAATAATTATAACCAAAGTTATATTTAGAGATTCCTTTGGTTGGTTTTGTCATGTGTTTTAATGCATTGTATTTTCTGTGTAACAATGAATAGATAAGTATTATAATATATTATATTTTATACATTAAAAATACAGATTATAATGCATTATATGTCAAATTATAATGCATTATATATGAAAGCTTCAAGTAAAGTGTTATCAGTGAAATTGACTGTTTTTCATGTGTTTCATGTGTTTAACTTTCTAAAGGTGTAACAATTAATAGATTTTTATTATAATATATTATAACTGTGTTTTTCATGAGATCATACAATGCATTATAAGGTGCACTGCAAGGCATAATTCACACAGTAACATACTTTTTGTAATGCATTATATGTAAAGGCTTCAAGTAAAGTGTTACCTAATTGTTTTTCACATTTCTGTGTTTTGAAAGGTCTCTGCTGTAGTATCGGACAATGTTTCGCAAAAAGAAGAAGAAGAGGCCGGAGATTTCAGCACCGAAGAACTTCGAGCATCGCGTTCATACGTCGTTCGATGCAAAGCGAGGAGTCTTCGTCGGTCTTCCCACACAATGGCAGAGTTTAATAGAAAACCTCCGGAGACCCAAACCCATGGTGGACCCGTCCAGGATCACGCCGGTGGAGCTCAAACCAAAGAAGGTCAGAATTACATGGAATAAATGCTAAGAAGTGTCCCACAATAGCATGATAGACCTTTTCAGTTCACTTTGAAAAATTCCGTAAAATTTACGGTAAAAAAACGGCAGCTGTGGTTGCCGGAATTTTACCGTAAAAAATACGATAGCAACATTTTAGGTTTTACAGTTTTAACTTAAATGTACGGTTAAATACCGTAATTTCATTAACTGAAATAATGTTAATATTCCAACCTATCGAAATCGTTTATTTTATGCAAAGCATCAGGCTTTTCCATCACACGAAAAGACCGCGTCACTCGTTAAAGGTGATTCACACTGCGCGCCTGTATGTTGACCCAACCGCTGGGTCAAAACAACCCAATAGCTGGGTTTGTCCCTTTTTAACCCAGCGCTGGGTTATATTTAACCCAGCATTTTTTAGAGTGTATACAGCACAGTAACGATTTTATAGATAAAATAAAATGTACACAAACCTGTATTTTACCGAAGAATGCATCAATTCGATGGCGCTTAGAACTGCTCTATCGTGAAGTGAAGACGCAAAATCCCCGCGATAAATAACTCAACCGCTGAGTTACGTCTGACCCTGGATCTGAGTAACACAAAAACTACCCAAACACTGGGTTGTTACATTTGACAAAGGAGCTGGGTAACATAAAAACTCAGGATTTTTTAGAGTGTAGTGATGAGAAAGTCACATGATGAACCAAAGCCCATCGCATGCAGCTTTTAAATAATAACATATAAAGAAGGTGCACAGTGTGTCATTCACACAAACACTAAACACCATCATGGTAACACACATGAAACTGAAATAATGCAATAAACATTCATTTAACAACATTAGGTGTAACACACAACCCTAATATACAAAACTGATAAGAAAAAACTAAGAAACATAGTTATTTCAACAAAAAAAACATCAAATTTGAACTGTAGCGCAGGGAATTCTGGGAATGTCAATTTACGGTTATTAACTGTAAATTATACAGCCTTTTTCACTTCCAAAAACGGTATACTACCGTAAAATTACATGTAATGTCCAATACAGTATTTCACCGTATATAGTAGGGGAATTTACCGTTAACCATTTAACAGGTTTTTACTGTAGCATTTTTACAGTCTTTTACCGTTAAATTCACACTCATTTTGGAAACTGCATAGCAACAGCCTGGAAAACACTAAGCGTACTTTTATTTTTCCCCAAATATTTTTGTGTGAGTTTTGAGTAAATATTGCATACATGTTGGATTTCAGCAGCTGTGGCCACTTTGTTTATGTTTTAATGTAGATTCAAGAAAAAACAATACACCGGAGGCCATCATGAATCATTTTGACTTGCAGTATGTTAATGCAGAAGCTTAATTTCTACACAATAAAAAACATAAATGAAAACTGCTTCAAGAAGCTTCAAAACTTCTCATTTAGGCAATGAAATTAAAATAAACTCTATTTGCATTCTTAATTCATGTTACTTTAAGGTCACATGATTCATGAACTACTTCAAATTGCTTCTCAGGATGTGAAGTTTTATTGTAACAACAATTTTATTGAACAATTTGTAAATACAACTAGGCAACAACAATACGTCTTTGCATTGCAAGAGTAGGATCAGGTGCATAAAAGAAAAAAAAAGATAAAATAAATAAAATTAAAGGGCGAAAGCTTTTCTTGTAAATTATATTCTTCTATTATAGCAGAAAAGTTTTATTTCATTTTTATTTTTCACCAACTAAAGGGCTGAAATAATATTTTCTTGTAAAACATACTTCAATAATGTTTTATTTATACTTTAAAAAAAAAAATTTTCACAGCGTAGCTGCAAATAATTTACATTTCTTAGTATTTGTAACACAAAAGTTCCTGTAAACTTAAAAATATGTTGCTTTTTTATTTTTACGTTTTTTATTTAATGCTCTTCACTTTTTGCAGAATATTGTGCACTGATTAATTATTCACAATAAGAACTAAAATATTTGCAATTTAAAGTCAAATGGAAATGAGAATACATTTTAAATAAATAAATTTTAAAAAATGTTAACGTTCTTAATTCATGTCACTTTAAGGTCACATGATACATGAACTACTTCAAATTGCTTTTGTAACAACAGTTTTATTGAACAATTTGTAGAAACAGCTTGTTTTTGCAGTAGAAGTGTAAGTTCAGGTGAAAAAAAAAAGAATTAAAAAAAGAATTAAAAAAATTAAATTAAAGGGCTTGGACTTTTATTGTAAACTATATTCTTGTATTATAGCAAAAAGTTTTCATGCATTTTTATTTTTCACCATGCAACTTAAGGGCTGAATTTTTTGAAAAACGTACTTCAATAATCTTTTCACACAATAGTTTCAAGTAATTCACATTTCTTAATATTTGTGTCTCAAAAGGTCCCGTAAACGGAAAAATGTATTGCTTTTTTAATTTAATTTTATTAATTTTATTACTTTTTAGTTTTTGTAGAATAACAAAGATAGAAAAAATATATAAAATAAAAATTATTATAAAATTAAAGGGCTAAGGCTTTTCTTGTAAATTATACTCTGAAATAGTATTTTCTCATATTATTTTCTTGTAAAACATACTTCAATAATATTTTTTTTATTTGCAACTTTGAAAAATTGATTTCAAGTCATTCATATTTCTTAATATTTGTGTCTCAAAAGGTTCCGTAAACTGGAAAATATGTTGCTTTTTTAATTACATTTTTTTATTTGATTCTTTTTAGTTTTTGTAGAATAACAAAGATAGAAAAAATATATAAAATAAAAAAAATTATAAAATTAAAGGGCTAAGGCTTTTCTTGTAAATTATACTCTGAAATAGTATTTTCTCATATTATTTTCTTGTAAAACATACTTCAATAATATTTTTTTTATTTGCAACTTTGAAAAATTGATTTCAAGTCATTCATATTTCTTAATATTTGTGTCTCAAAAGGTTCCGTAAACTGGAAAATATGTTGCTTTTTTAATTAAATTTTTTTATTTGATTCTTTTTAGTTTTTGTAGAATAACAAAGATAGAAAAAATATATAAAATAAAAAAATTTATAAAATAAATAAAATTAAAGGGCTAAGGCTTTTCTTGTAAATTATATTCTGAAATAGTATTTTCTCATATTATTTTCTTGTAAAACATACTTCAATAATATTTTTTTTATTTGCAAAATTGATTTCAAGTAATTCACATTTCTTAGTATTTGTGTCTCAAAAGGTTCCGTAAACTGAAAAACATGTGGTCGTTTTTTCCAGCATATAGCATGACTCATAATTCATGAACATTCAATGTTTTGGCCTGGGCTTGAATTTAAGCAGAGAATACGGCTCTTAAGCTCAGTCCTTGATATTTCAGAGACTCTCTTTCCAGGCTTCGGCGCACTGCGTTTCTGCCTGAGGGACGTCCTGAATGGCTCTCAGAAACACATGTTTTTTCCTCTGTCACATTGGCTTCTTATCTATCACGGGCCTGCTGTGAACACCGATTCAGAGCGCTGAATCCTCGGAGGGCCGAGAGATTTATTACCTCACGCTGGCAATTAATAATGATGCATGCGGGCCGCCAGCGCAGCGAGAGTCAGGCGGAAAAACTGCAACTCCAAGCAAAAGAGGCGAGCTTCTCAAACATCTAAACATCTCTGTTCTTCTGTGCATGAACATATGCTTTCATAGAGAACAGCTTGCTCTGAATAAGGCCTGCTTCATGCATGTGACGTCAGAGACTTTGACGGGAAAATCAAATGCAAGCAAGGATGCAGTTGCTAAGGGGTTCTGAGTGGTTGCTAGGTGGTTTGGTTGAGATTTGCTCCTTAATTTGCAGATGTTGTTATATGATCTATCTTATTTTCTCTCTCTGTATCTGCCCTGAGCTCGTCTCAACCATGAGTGACGGACCTCGAGTCACTTCTGTCAAAGCCTCTGTGAATAAAGCACATGACAGCTGATGAATGTCATGTCTTTCCTCAAATGCCTAAATATACCAAAACAAAAATAAATGGGAATATACAGAAAAATACAATGCAATATATTAAATAATACATTACCATATATGGGTAACTAGTGCTTATATTGTTCAATATACTGCAATAAGTATGTTTATATAAATAAAAAATATATAGCAAATACTGCACTACATTTGTACATGTAATAGCTTTATTGAAACACTCAGTACATTTTTCATGACTTAATGCATGGGTTTACATTAAGCTGACTTCATTGTTTGCATAGCTACACATTTCATATGTGAAATTATGTACAGTATATAAGAAAAAAAGTGTTTACTCAAAGCAAATATTAAAGTTTTTGTTTTTTTGGACAATATATGTTCAGTACATGTATGTTCAAATATATTTAGACACAGAGCCATATTTTATTATATGCATATCTATATATTATGAAGTGTATTATATTGTAATATATTGACAGAATATATTATTCCGTATATTATACTTATAAGGAAATATATTTTCTTTGTGTAACGGTATAAGCATTGTGTGCTCCGTCCTCGGTTTAATTTAATTTAATTTAATTTATTGGTCGTTCTTTGGAAGTAGTGCCATTTTAAAATTGGTTATTTTTACATTTTATATCTATTGCTCTTAACATATTTTAGAATAACGTGCACTGATGAATCATTCACAATTAGAACTGAAGAATATGTGCTATTTAATAAACAACCAAAAAGTCTAAACAATGTTCTAATAATATTTTATATTATTATAAATCATTTAAAGAATATAAATGAAGGCTGCATCATTAATAATTAACAAAACAGGCTCTTTGTTAAAAAGGTTCTACTTTATAACAATCAAATATCAGTAAACAACAATTTTTTTTTATTATAATAAAAAAAATCAACAAAACAGAAACAATTGTAAAAAAACAATTAAATGGCAATAAACAAAAACAAACAAAATTAAATAATATTGTAATAATGTTTTATACTATTATGAATATATTTTATATTTTAATATAAATAAATATATACATTTTATTTTAATTTAAATTCTATAAAAATATACATTCATATCAGTTGTAAATGGGCGACATAAATATCAAAATCAACAATTAACAAAACAGCCTCTTTGTTAAAAAGTTTTTACTTTGCTCTTTATTTGCAAGAAAGAAATCCGATTTGCAGAAATGCCATTTTTCTGCACTCTTTCTTTTTTATTATAAAGAAAAAATTAACAACAAACAAAAGCAATCATAAATAACAATTCCAATAAACAAAAAAAATATATAAATAACATTGTAAAAATATTTTGTATTATTATAAATAATATATTTTATATTATAATCAATCAATCAATAAATAAATATATGCAGTTTATATTATTATAAACAATAAAAAAAACTACATACAGGTGACATAAATGGCATCATCAATAATTAATCAAACAGCATATTTAATTAAAAGGGTTTACTTTACTTTGCTCTTTATTTACAAGAAAGAAATCTTTAGTCCATCAGTCTGATTTGCAGAAATGCCAATTTTATATTATTATAAATATATATATATTAGTGCTGTCAAACGATTAATCGTGATTAATCGCATCCAAAATAAAAGTTTTTGTTTACATAATATGTGTGTGTACTGTATATATTTATTATGTATATATAAATAACATTGTAAACTATTTTGTATTATTATAAATAATATATTTTAGATTATAATAAATAAATACATGCAGTTTATATTATTATAAATAATAATAAAAAACTGCATATAGGTGACATAAATGGCATTATCAATAATCAACAAAAAAGTCTCTTTGCTTTGGACTTTATATGCAAGAAAAGCAATCCTCAGATAGCTCAGACGAGTCATTCAGCGTTTCATAAACACAAATCAGCCAGAAATAGGCTCCTCGGAGGAAAGTGTGATTTGGAGTTCATCCGCACCCAGGTGAATTCACACGCTCTTTAAATAGCGCCGGTTTCAGTTCGCATTAATCACAGCCTGCCTCTGTTCTTTCCCCAGACCATTGTGCGTGGCAGCATGATCGGCCACGGAGACTATATATCAGCCGTGCTGTCAGACATGAGCCGTCTGTCCGTCACCAGCTCCAACTCCCTGCGCAAGAGCAGCCCGTCGGCCCGCAAGAGAGCGCAGTCGCTCGCCCGCCTCGGGGAGGTCAGCGAGGCCGATGTGTATCAGTACGAAGCCCTGGACGAGCCTGACCCTCACTGGGCCGAGAAATCACGCAACATCCACAGCGAGAGCGGCACGCCGTGCATGGGTCTGAAGAAGAGCGTCACGCTGCAGCCCAACGGCGTTCTGCCCCGCGCCAAATCCACCTATGAGGTCAGCATGAGCTTTCCTCCTCCGGCCCTCCCGGCCCCTCCGCCGCCCCCCATCCCCGTCCCGGAGCCACCCAGGTCTGTGTATCTGTGTGGGGACATCGGGAGCCCGACGGAGAGGCTCATGATGAGACGGGAGTTTCCCATCGTGTTCTCACACAACCAGAGACCCATCACCTGCTTCTACAGCCCCAGCATGCCACACGGAGACGCTCTCATGCCGGACATGAGGAGCGCCAACAGACTGCTGGTCCACCCGCAGAACAGCCCGGGGAGACCGTACTCCTCATACGACCTGAAGGTAAACGAACGTCTGACGTCTGTGGCCAACAGCCTCAATGATGGGAGCTTGTTCTGACACGCAATAAAAATACATACTGTTAATCTTACAATTCTGACTTTTTTTCATGCAATTGACTGACTTTTTTCCTCAGAATTCTGTTTACGTCACATTTTTTACCTTTTTCTCGCAATTCTGACTTTTTCCTCTGAATTCTGAGGTTAATTCTGATTGTAATTCTGATTTTATATATTGCAATTCTGACTTTTTTTTTTTTCAATTTTGAGTTTACATTTCGCAATTTAGATTTTTTTTTCTTGTAATTCTGATTTGATATCTTTTAATTCACTTTTTTTCTCTGAATGACGAGTTTGTTTCTCACAGTTGAGACTTTTCTTCATGAAATTGCGAGTTTACATCTTGCAATACTGACTTTTCCCTCTGAATTCTGTTTACGTCACATTTTTTACCTTTTTTTCAAACTTCTGACTTTTTCCTCTGAATTCTGAATTATCTCTCAATTCAGATTTTTTTGCAATCCTGACTTTTTTTTAAATTTTATGTTTACAGTTCACAGTTTTGATTTTTTTCTCAGAATTCTAAGTTAACATCTCACAATTCCGTGTTTTGTTCTGAATTTTTAGACACCTGACCAACATGCACAAGCAGAATTCTGAGAAAAAAAACTCAACTGTGAGACAGAAACTCTCAAATGCAAGAAAAAAAAAAATCCAAATTGTTTTAAAAATATTTTTTTCTCTGTTTTGTAAAAATAAATTATAAAAAAAATACACCTTAACAAATCATGAACTTATTGAACTTAAGCATTTTTTAACTCATTTTATGAGTTTTTTCTGACATCAGAAATTTTGTTTTTGCAGTTCACTTTCCTTTTTTATTAAAATGAAAACAGACAATTGCAACAAAACCACCACAACATATACATTTATATAAATATGCATCTTAGATAACTTACCATGCAAAATCTTTCTTCTAAAAATAAGCAATTTCTTCAAAAAAAAAAAAATCGAAATGAAAAGAAAAGAAAAGTAACAAAATAAAGTTCACTTTAAAGTGCAAAGGCACAGTAAGATTTGTTTGAAAGAAATTAATACTTTATTCAGCAAAGATGCATTAAATTGATCAAAAGCGACACTAAAGACATTTATAATGTTACAAAAGAGTTCTATTGCAAATAAATGCTGTTCTTTTGATCTTTCTATTCATCTGTGAATCCTGAAAAATAAAATGTATCACAGTTTCCACAAAAATATTGTGCAGCACGACTGTTTTCATCATTGATATTAATCAGAAATGTTTCTTGAGCAGCAAATCAGCATATTAGAATGATTTCTGAAGATCATGTGACACTGAAGACTGGAGTAATGATGCTGAAAATACAGCTGCGCATCACAGAAATAAATTACAGTTTACAATATTTTCAAATAGAAAACAGCTGTTTGAAATTGTAATAATATTTCACTGTTTTTACTGTATTACTGTATTTTTTCAGCCTTGATGAGCAGAAGAGACTCCTTTTAAAAACATTAGAACTTCTGAACAGTATTGTATACTATTAAAATATCTTGAATACTCTTTAAGTTTGTCAGACGAATACATTTACATTTAGTCATTTAGCAGATGCTTTTATCCAAAGCGACTTACAAATGAGGACAATAGAAGCAATCAAAATCAACAAAAGAGCAATGATATGCAAGTGCTATAACAAGACTCAGTTAGCTTAACACAGTACACGCAGCAAGGGTTTTTAAAATAATAAAAGAAAACAGATAGAATAGAAAAAGAATAGAGCAAGCTAGTGTTAGAGGTCTTTTTTGCTTTTGTTAATTGTATAATAAATGAAAAGTAAACAGATAGAATACAAAAAGATTAGAAAGCTAGTGTTTTTTTTGTTTGTTTGTTTTTTTAAAAAGAAAACAAGCAGCAAATTAATAGAGTGCAAGTTTAAAAGGGACAAGTGTTTTTTTTATTTTTTACATGTTAATAAACAAAGCAAATGAATGCAGGTTAAAGGAAAACGTCTCAGGTTACGCATGAGAATAGGGAACGAGACGCTGCGTCCTCTAGAGGACTCTAGGGGAACACATTCAGTGTCCTCTAGAGGACGCAGCGTGGAGTTCCCTTTCGAGAGGGAACCAGCCCACGTCCTTATTTCTGTTTGTCCTTGTGTTTCTCTTCTCAATGAAACAGGCCGACGCAGCCATGAGACACCAGCCGGGATATTTGCACAGCGGCACCAGCAGTCCCCTCGTGAGCGGCACCAGGCCTCACAGAACGGTGCGTTCCTCCTCCAGCTACACCATCGGCTTCTCGCCCAACATCAGTTACCGGCCCACCGGGCCAGACCCCTACATGAGACACTCTGGCTGCCCCAACCCGGGTCTCTACCCCAGACAGGACAGTCCGTCGCAGCCCCGGCCATCTCCCACCGGCTCTCTGGCCAACAGCCCTCCGGGAACCTGCTCGCCCGCATTCAGACCCCCGCAGCACCCCTCGCCCCGACCCCCGCCCGACCCGCCCAAAGTCACCCACGAGCAGTTCAAGGCCGCGCTGCAGATGGTGGTGGATAAAGGAGACCCGCGGTCATATCTGGAGAACTTCATGAAGATCGGCGAGGGTTCGACGGGTGTGGTGTGCATCGCCCGCGAGAAACACAGCGGACGGCTGGTGGCCGTCAAGATGATGGACCTCAGGAGACAACAGCGCAGAGAACTGCTCTTCAATGAGGTGAAGAACGAACAATCATAATATCAATAAAAACAACCTCAACACTGCTTTTATTCAAAGGAATAGTTCACCCAAAATTGTAAACGTGCTCATCCTCAGGCCATCCAAGATGTAGATTAGTTTGCTTCTTCATCAGATTTGGAGAAATGTAGCATTGTGTCACTTGCTCAGCAATCTATGTGAAAAGATGCAGTTGCCAAAAATAGAATTGGCCATTTAAATGCACATATTTGTTGATCTGAATATGCAAGTCCCATCATGCATTTTTTTCTCATTGGGGGTCTTGTTGCATCACGTTACATAAGCGAAAAGGGTTTCAAATGACATTGACCCCAGAACATTCAGTCACAAAATGTTTTGACTGAAAAAACATGTTTTGAAAGGGAAATTATAAACGTTTCAATCACAGTGTATGATTTAATGCAAGGCACAGAAACTAGCAGATACTACCAGAACTGACTCGGTTGTTTAGTCATATTCAAATAAATAGATGATGAACATATATAAATATAAATTATAATTTGGAACACTGTAAACACGATTAAAATTGAATGTCTAAAATAAAATAAAATAAAATAAAATAAAATAAAATAAAATAAAATAAAATAAAATAAAATAAAATAAAATAAAATAAAATAAAATAAAATAAAATAAAATTAAAATAAAATAAAATAAAATAAAATAAAATAAAATAAAATAAAATAAAATAAAAAAAATAAAATAAAAAAAAAAAATTTAAATAAAATAAAATAATAAAATAAAATAAAATAAAATAATGGATTAAAAAAATCACCGGGAACTTTTCTCCCCTTAAACAAACAGATTTATTTTTGTTCATTGGCTATGATGTTCGGCACTGATGGGGGTGTGCTGGTGTGTGTTCAGGTGGTGATTATGAGAGATTACCAGCACAGGAACGTGGTGGAGATGTTCAAGAGCGCTCTGGTGGAGGAGGAGCTCTGGGTCATCATGGAGTATCTGCAGGGAGGAGCTTTAACAAACATCGTGTCTGAGACCAGGTACCACAGCACAACACTGACAAGCTCAGCATTTCTCCAGCAAAGCTGTTTCTCTTCCGTCTGTTTCATGAAAGACGAGAGAACTGTATTTCTTAGCCAATTAATCTTGAGGTTTATGTTTTCATTGTGATCTCTATAGGATTTATGAGCAATATGCTTTACCATGGGTGGGTTAGTCTTCTAGTTAAAGTCCCTGTGAGATGCCTTTTTATAAATGCCTTTGACCAAAAAAAAAAAAAAAAAAATCTAAATTCATGACTTCTGTGCTATTTAAAATAACTGTTTTCTATGTGAATATATTTTA